TTAAAATCCTCCATAATTAGAAAGCTTTGAGATGTTTTTTCAAATACTACATAATGGAGGAAAAAACAAAACAAAGAAGTGTGTGTTTATAATGTATATATGAATATAAAAATCATTTTCTTATTAACTTTCATTATAATTTTTAAAGTTAGTTTTCCTAATTAACATTTGGATTATAACCAAAAAATTCATTTACATTTTGAGAAGCACACTGTTTACAAACATAGATTTAATTAATAACCCAAGAGAAAAATTAGTCAGTTGGTCAATGAAGTTACACAATCTTCCCACTCATTAATATAGACCACAATTATTTTCCACTTACTAATTCCACAATATGTACGACCCAACATAAGATGTTAGTTATTACAAATTCTGAAAATAAGGGTTTTCAGAAATGCTCAGTACTTCCTGGGTTACTAATATGGTATTTATAAATCCTTGTAACAAATATTTTTTAAATAGTTTTGCAAGTTTCTCTTTCTTAATAGTGGAAGCCTCCTTATTTTGTGTGTGCAAGAATATATGTCAGCTAAACATTCAACAGGCACTGAAGTATGTATTAAATGAACAACAGAGTACTTAAAGAGGGGATGAATAGCAAGGCAGTGAGGAGTAGATAGAGTGATTACAGCATCTTTCCTGGAAAAAAAAAGAGACATAAAACAGTATCTTGAGAGTATCAAGACTGGAGAAACTGAATGTTCCAAGTTTGGGAAAATATGAGCATTTAATTAAACAAGCTTCAGAAAACACTCCTTCTAGTTCAGATTTTGTCATTGACTAGCGAGTGGGTGAACTTGGACAAGTCATTTAATATCTGTGAGTTCAAACACAATTCTCTTCTTCCCAACAGGAAATTAATGCACATTTACCATATTTTGCCATGTATAATGCACACCCACATTCTGCACACATTATACATGGGATTATCATGCCCATTATTATACCCACGGTATGTAATCATTATACCTATGTATAATGTGCATTCTTATTTTCCCCCAAAATATTTAAGCAAAAAAGTATGTATTATACACAGCAAAATATGGTACAGATTGTTTTTCTGAACTTACTTTGGTTGTTCATTCATATTTTATCCCTATTTGTTAACCTATTTGTTAACCAAGCGCCCAAAACAAATACTCAATGCTATTACTCTTCTCTAGATACATCAAATTACAATCTACTTATTTAAGTGGTTCTCAGCTATCATCTGTATGCTCCTTTATGCTTCTCGCGCACTCTTACGTTCTTAAATAGAGCTTCTGGACACTAGACTGTCAGTTAGTTCATCTACTTATATGTGGAATTTCACCGACTATCATTATGCTTACATTTACAACCCTGTTGTCAACTATAAGCAACAAATCGCCCATAAATTTGAACTATTTCAATAATTTTCATTCTGTTTCCTCTGAGCTAAGTAATCTTGGCTTATGGCTATAGCTATTTAATTGTGTGTGGCTGATAGCCTAAGATAAATCAAGATTACTTTTTTACATTTTTCTAACAATGACTATATACAATCTAAGCTTATAAAACTACATCATTTAGTTTTAGTTGAAAGAAAAGCAGAGGGGAAAACAGAGATGGCAAGTTAATGCTCCCTGTTGTAAGCATCCCTCTCCCCCTTAACGTAATTTCCTCAGTTCTCACTCTGAACACTCACTTCCACTTCTATCGCTAGATCAACTTCAACTCATCCTAACATTCTTCTACTGACAGTCCATCACCAAATACAGCACAGCAACTACCAAACCTATTAAAAGGGTTAAAGAGACCTCCTTGTCATTAACATCACAAATACAATGTAAATATCAAAACTAATAAATATTAAAAGAGAGCCATGTACTTGGTGCTCTGGAAGCATAGAAGAAAAAAATAATGTATTCCCTGCCAAAAAGCTAAAGATATCAGAACAGAAAAGGAGAAAGTAGTTAGAAAGGAGTTTTTGAAGCTCACAGATTTTATTTTTAGGGTATCAAGTACATTGAAGCAATTAATTTAGTAACCAATTTACTAGCCTTAGAACTGCATCTTAACCAGAACTATATAGGACAAAGGCCTAAAGTGTACTCAGACTATCCTCAAAGCTTTCCCTCATTACTTCAACACACAAATAATCTCCACCCCACTATTCAACCTTCCTTCCTCCCCACTGTCCAACTATTACAGCACTTTGTCTTATTTTCCACTTAACATTACAACAGTATGTGTATGTGAAAAGTGCCTTCTAAATTTGGAGGCATGTATAAAAGATATGGAAATGACTCTATCGCCTCCATTCCACAATTCTTATGAATACTTTCCTTTAACCCCCACTGTGACTGGCAGAGCAGATCCTCAATGAGTATTTGATTTAAAACTCTCTGGTGGCACATGAATAATTACTTATTATACTAATATTAAGCTATAAAAGCTAAATTAAAAACAATTCTTCAATATTACAACCTACACATGACGAAGCAGTAGAGTGTGGTGGTTCAAGGTATGCACATAAAAGACAAATGGCCTGACTTTCAATCTAGTCCTGTCACTTAACTATTAGTTTTGTGACCCTAAGCAAGCTACATCGCTCAGGTCCTTAATCTTCCCAACTATAAAATGGAATAAAATTAGGGATTACCTAACTCTTAGGTCACTGTACTTGTAAGTTAGTACAGTGCAGGGGTGTCCAACCTTTTGGCGTCTCTGGGCAACACTGAAAGAATAGTTGTCTTGGGTCACCCATTAAATACACAAACACTGACAAAAACTGATGAGCAAAAACAAGGTCCGAGCATAATTATTGTGATATCTGCCACCACAGATAAGCAAAATGTCCTCACATACTAACCTTAATTAGTCTACAGCCATGCCACCCTGAACACGGCGGATCTCGTCTGATTTCGGAAGCTAAGCAGGGTCAGGCCTGGTTAGTACTTTGATGGGAGACATAATAACCCTAATTATGCAGTGGTCCTTTCGACAGTTTTTTAAAATCATCGAGCAGGTCCCAAGTTTGTGATCACTAATATAGCAAATGAATATATCTAAGTTATAAAACTTAGTAATAAAACTAAGTGATGTTTTAAGTAAATTTACGATTTTGTGTTGAACCGCATGCAGAGCCATCCTGGGCCACAGGCGATGCAGCCCACGGGCCGCGGGTTAGACACCGCTGGCACAGCGCTTAGACCAGAACTTCATACACGGTAAGCTCTAGACTCAACAGCAGCAGTAGCACTAGTATCACCTTTATCAGAAAACCTGAATGTTTTTTACCAGATATACAAATAATAACACCTTTCAACTCTGCACCTGTTTATAGTTAGTTACAAAACTCTTTCACTCTGTATATCTTTACAATGTTTGAAGAAAAAAAATTAAAAGGCTTTTCTTCTAACAGCAAGATATATGCTATTGTAGTACGACTGTATACAACTGCTAATTTTAATTCTGTAACTTCCACAAGGGCTTTCAGATTAGACCGTGAATGGAAGAAGCACAGTCACACTCAGTTTTTAATCCTGTTGCTGCCATTAGTCAGCTATTATGACCATCAACAAGTAAACACAGGCAAATTGTTTCACCTCGATAAGCCTCAATTTCCTAATTTCTAAAATGCGATACCATTACCTATACCCCAGGAATGCCCCAACGTACAAGGAGTCAAGGTACCTGAGGCAACAAGCACAATGCAGGGCACACTGTCAAGCTTACATTTTGGTTTCTGTCCCCCACACCCCCCACATCTCATACAGAGTACCTCATTTAACTCTCTTCCCACTCTCATAAAGTTCACATTAGGTTGAACCATGTGAAAAACAGTTGATTACTGGCAAATTCATATGGCTCAACCTAATACTATGTCACTTACAATCAGAGAAAATAAGCTCAGGGAGGTTAAATAATTCACTCAAGGTCATGTGTGCAGTAAGTAACAGAACTAAAACTTTAAAAAACAGATTTAATAACCTTTCATTTGGCCAGCTTACTAACTGGTTCAATGAGTCCTACTCAGGGTGAGAAAAAAGAAGGTATAGTAGCCACAACAACACATATCAATCTACTGTAACCTACAAGTTTTTGTTCTGCTATATTAAAAAATGGTGAAGACCTAGATTCTTAAGAACCTTTAATTTTTAAATTATTTGTGGAATATTTCTGTGTGTGTTGGTGGGGTAGGGAAAGTCAGAGGAAAAAATATCGAAGGAAGAATATGTATAACTACGTTAATTCATAAAGTACAACTGGATCTAATTAGAAACCCCAGTAATTACAAACCCCACATGCAGCTGAACAATGAATGTCCAATCCTGGTGAAAGGTTAGAAGTTTTCAATGCCACTAATGAGTTCTTTGCCAAACACATAAGGAAGAATTATATTAAATGTACCCACTTTGATTCAAATAGGTATGCACTAATACATAACTTCAGTGAAAAAAATTGACTTTTCTTCCAATAGCAATACACTATTGTAGTAAAATTGTACAGAACTGCTAAATTTATTTCTATAATTCCACAAAAGCTTTAGATCACTTAAACCATATTTGGGTTACAGTGTCCATCCAAACATGATTCACAGTACTAGTAAAAAACAAATATTAACAGAACAAGGCCCCATAACACTGGTTGAATATTTAACAACATAAAACGTTCACTATGATTGGTCTACAAATCTATTGTCTCTTTTCTCCTTGATATGTCATTCACCTTTCTTTTAAAAAAATGCATGAACAACAAAATAAGAATGAGGATAATAAATAGAAAATGGATCTTTCCACAGATTTACAATAGAACAGTTTTGTTTTAATCCTCTTATCGGCCTCTCCAATTATAGAAGCATTCCACCGCAGCAAAGAATATAGGGTTCTTTCCTCACACTGAAAGGAGCTGGAGAGGGAAACACAAGAGTGTGAAACAGGAAGTGTCGGAATATGCTACATTTCTTCCAAACTAAATTTCCCGTCTCTCCGGAATCAGTTTTAAGTCAGCGCTCTTAATTTACAAGACCTTACCCTTTAGCCATTACAGATATGTTTTTAATCCCATAGCAACTGGCACCTCTTCTCGTGCTGCAGGATCCCACCTAACATCACTTCTAGAATCCATTAAGCTCTCTTTTCCCCCGGCGGTCGGAGCGAGTCGTCATCCCTGGAAAGAGCAGTGTAATCACAATTACGTCTGTGCATCTGGTCTCAACTCCCCGGAACAAAAGTCAGGCTGAACCGGGCTGCCTCCTACAGCGCGACTCCCAGCGATTGCTTTTGCCCACCAGGTTTCGGCGAAACCTCCGAGAGTGACCTCTGCGGCTCGGTAAGGTGCCTGACACCTCGTTTACTAAGACCCCTGATCCGCGACTACAGTTTCACCTCGCTGCAGCTAGAGCGCTGCGCCGGGCTCCAGACTTACTCCAAACTCTCTCTAGACCCCCCTCCGCGACTCCGGGCCCCAGCTCCCAGCCGAGCGCGCCCCTCCGACAGGTAACCCGGCTCCGGGCTCCCAGCTTCGGGCGGTCGGGACCGCGCAGTTAATGAGTAACAAGCCCGTACCTGGGGAGGGGCGGGGAAAGCTGCGGGCGCCCGACGCCTACTAAAGAACCCGGGACGTCCAGATGCCCAAACACCCGCGCCGCCGCCGCTGCCCGGGGTGCCAGAGCCCGCGGAAGGAGGCAGGGAGCGCGCTCGCCGAGCAGGATCCCCGCGCGCCGCGCCCGCACCTGCACTGGCCACGGCAGCCCCTCCAGGCAGGCTCGCGGGAGGAGGGCGCGCGGGCGCCGATGAGGGGCGGTGCTCCGCGCCCCGGGCCTTTCTCGCGCGCGGCCGCACTCACCTGACGAACCCACGGTCGCCACTGCCCGTGCTCAGAGACGCTCGCAGAGCAGCACAGAGCGCGCCTCGAAGCACCGAGAGACTGAGGACGACCGCCGGCCGATGCCGCTACACTCAGCCGCGGCGGGGGAACTGCGCTGGGAGCCGCCGAGGGAGTGCGGGAGTGCGCCTGCGCCGGGAGCGGCCGGGCCCGCGGTGGGAAGGCGGTGCTGGAGGCGGGGCAGGGGCGGGGCCGGCGTGGGGCCTGAGGGACCCGCACGCTTCCGCGCCCCCTGGCTCCAAGCGGGGCTCCTCGCAGGTGCCTGGGCGGAGGCCCCAGGTGCCTCTGCGGGCGGTTTCCCTGGGAACCTGAGCGTCCTGGCTCTAAGCCGTGTTTCCCGGACTCGACCGGCAGTCTCGGGTTCACTTCGGGTGTGCTGGGCTCACCAGGAGTCGGAAAATGAACCTTCGATGTGAGTTGAGGACTGCTAGAACCAATCTGAGACTTGGCGTCCATATATACCTCTCAACGTGTGTCTATCTGTGTCGGAAGAGTGGGGGGATGGGAGGAGGGAGAGTCTAATAGAACCCAGATCCCATCCTTCCAGCATCTACTGGAGCGTTCGAGAATGTCGTTTCTGTGCCTGCCTTCTCATCTTTTGTGTGAGCTGTTATAAAATTTCCACTTCCCATCCCCCGTCAGGTCCTCCTAGTAGGGAAAGTGAAGATACAGACCCAAGCTCCCAAAATCTGATCAAAAAGAGGCAGTCACCATATGCGTCTGTATGTTTCATGGGATATACATGTGGACCAGGGTCATCATTCTGTATGTTGTTCTCATCTTTTAAAGGCAATAAAGAAGAGTAGATTAGGTGTATGTCCATAGGAATCAGAATTCCTGGGTTTGAATTTCCCACCTCTAGTTGTGTGACCTTGGGTGAGTTGATCTCTAAGAACCCCAATTTTCTCATCAGAAATGGGGATAGTTAAGAGTACCTACTCACTGAGTCATTGAGAGATTAAGTGGTTTAATACATGTAAAACACTTGGTGTACTGCAGGACACACCATGCCTAATGAATATTAGTTTTAATCATTAATAACATTATTACTATTTTTTAATTAATAACATTATTACTATTATCATCCACCTATATCCAAACAGAAACCTAGAAAGTCATTATTTATTCTTTTATACTACATGTCCAATATATCAAATCCTATCCATTCTAGCTTTCAAATAATTCTTAAATTTATCGCACCTCATGTTCACTGCCACTAAATATGACCTTCCTCATTAAAAGACTACTAACTCCCTTATACTATGTTGTCCATGTCATGTCAAGAATGAATGTCATTCATTCAAATATTTATTGTGCCCCATTATATGCGCTGCTGGACACAAAACCATTGCACACCATCCTACCACAAAAACATAGTCAGGGAGCCAAATATGTCAATAGCAGCGAAATGGAATCAATAAACTCAACATGCAGCAAACTACTTGGGTTCCCAGTCTTGCCACACTCTCTCAAGCATCTTGTTTTTGCATATGCTTCTCCTTTTTCTTGTTACAGCCTGACCTCCCACCTCTTCTTTACCGACCTCATTTCTGCTTCTCCTTCATTATTCAGCCCAGGCATCAGTTCTGTTGTCTGCTCTTCCCTGCGGCTTGCCACCCAGCCCTAACACACCCATGCCCCCATACGAGCTAGGTGCTCCTAACTGTGTTCCCATACCACCCTATCTCTTTGTAGCATTCATCACATAGAATGATAATTGTAGTTATGTCTATTTTCCTAATTACTATGAACTTCTTGAGAACAGGCACAAGGCATGACATGTAGTAGGACTGGCTCAATAAATGCAGAATGAATGAATGACATACATGGAGATGTACTTCCTTGGTATATAAATGTTGAGGACAGGCCCTATGACATACTCTACATAGCACCTAAGACATTATGCATCTGTAGGAAATAGTAAGCAACAGCCATATGCCTAAATCATATGTTGGTGTTTTACAAACCACCTACCATCTGTAAGGCTCTTTGGAATGTACTTAAAGGTGTTTTCTCTCACATACTTAACCTGTTAGCATAATTTGTGAATGTGAAGAGTGATATGAGTAGTTGCCTATAATCACACTTCAGTGTCCTTGCAGCAGAAACTAAGGTACATTACACAGTGTTAGACACTCAGAATCTCAGCTTGCAAAATTTATAAAGTGTCGTGAGCATCCAAAGTTAGATTGCCCAACCATAAATTAAAGAGATAGACACTTCAAAAACATGATGATGGATTTTGTAGTATGCTCAAGTTTGCCTTCTCATTTATTAAAAAGTAAGTTATATTATACAACTAATGTCAAGTATTACATGTAAAATAATAAATATATTTTTAAATATTAAGACTTTCCCATCTGTAGCTGAGGTCAGAAAACAGATGAGGTGAGTGTTAATATCTGGAAACTTAAAATTGAATAAGTCATTCTAAGGTTGTTACCCTTGGTTATAACTTTTATTGCTTGTTTACATCTGTTTTATTTTCAAAGCTCAGAAAATGTTGTATATTTACACGGTATTTTTTAGGTTCTAACAGACTTCACATAAATTATCTCATGGGTTCTTTACAAAAAACAATTTGACATGGGTAGAAAGGTAATTATCCTTCATCATTACAGATGGGGAGATCAGACCACCAGAGTTAGGGCTCTGGTCGTCAGGATGCAGGGTAACGTCTTACAAACAAATGAAGTTAAAACTCTTTAACAAGCCTACTGGGCATCATATTCCTCAGTATGGCAGACTAGAGACTAGTCGATTCTCCCACCAAAAGCAACTCAAAATGCCAGATAAAATATGTAAAACATCTTATCAAACATATCAATAAGCTGACAAGAGCATAAGAAATTCTCAAGGGCAAAAACTAGGTAAAAGCAGGAATCCAGACAGTAAATAACAATGCAAAAAAATTTTTTAAAGCTGGTTACAGGTTTTTAAAAAAGTACCAGAAGCAATCTGTCATTTTCTTGTCTAGCAAAATAGTTCTTGGGGGCCAGTGTTCCTGCTCACATTCCCATAAAAATTTGCCTTTGCAACTCCTGTACAAAAGGAGAGCTGTCTCTAAAGTGTCTTTTTATTAGCTCAGTTGTGGATAACACTGTAGTTCAGGCCCTTTTTCTGACATAGGAATAAACAACTGAAAAGATCTGAGGGCTAAGAGAAAGTGTTGATGGAGTAACTTAGACTCTAAAAAGTATGGTTTCCTTCAAAAGAGTCACTTTAACAAGTTACAGACATATAAGGATATGTTTTGAGGATTGGCTTCGAATACAGTTTATTTCACAGACACACTAGTTGCCATCCATTAAGCACGTTTATTTATTGCTTCTCTATGCCAAGCACGTAAGTAGTCTGCAGTGGGAGGGAAGGGCAGGAGAGATGAGACTTAATGAGAGGACCTCCCGGCTTCCACACAGTGTTTCAGTCCCAGGTTCCAGTGTAGTTCCAAGGCTTCCTTTATTCCTGCTCATAGATTCTGTGAGAAATCCATATATCTTTAAAATCATTCCCCCAGTTTGCATAGATTTTTGAATGGAAAAATCATATCTTTTGTGGAGAGATTGTTTTTTCTTAGCGGTTAAAACTCAAAATAACAGTAGCTTAAACAAAATAAAATTCACTCCTTTCATGTAAGTGTAGGAAGCCCAGGCTTGGTATGATGGCTCTCTGATCAACAGAGATGCAGGCCTCTTCTATCAGGTGTCTTCCCCATATGGTAAACATGTAGGTCCTACCTTATGGTCCATGGTGGCTGCTCAAGTTCCAGCCATCACATCCTTATTTCCAAGTAGTAGAAAGGAAACAGGGGCAGAAAAGAACACATACCTCTATTTTAGAACACTTGCAGAAGTTGTATACATCACAACACACCTTATTGGTCAGAAGTTAACTATAAGTGATGTTAAAACATGTAGTCGCTATAAAGTGGCCATGCGCCCAGCAGAAAATCGGTGGTTCTAATACTAAAAGAGAAAGGGAGAACGAATAACGAGACAACTAGCAGTCTTTGTCTTATCATGTGAGCTCCGATTTAGGATGATAGAAATGGTGATGGGGTAGAGTATACAAATAGAGCACAGGCATGGTAAGGAAAACATGTGATGTGCTCAGTGATGGTGAGCAATGCTGATTAGTTATCACATGGAACAAGTGCAGGTAGAGAAATAAGGTAGACAGATACGTGGGAGCCAGATTGCAGAAGATCATAAATGCCAGACTGAGGAATGTGGAATTTGGAAGTCAGAGCTCCTGAAAAATTTTTAAGCTGGACAGTGAAATGATGAAAACATTGCTTAAGGAAGAGTAATGTGGTATCATGCCCAGAATGTACTTGAGTGGGGAATGACTAGAGGCAAAGAAATTAGATAGGAAACTACTATGAGATAGGGAGTGCCTACACTGCAATAAAACAGGAAAGAAGAAACATTTCAAGGCATGAAATTTGTCTAATACAAGTGATTAGATCTCTCTCCCTCTAGCTCTGCCCTCTTTCTTCCCTCCCGCCCTCTCTCTTCATGTCCAGCATCCATTTTGTGTTTCTGGGATCAGCATAATACTTTATTTGGGGGAATCAACCCAGCAAGTTCCCCTCTCTTTGAACATACCTTTTTACCATGCTCAGTTCATGTGATTCAAGTAGAACTGAATTCCCCCCACTTCAGAGGTGAGCATGTGACCCAGGTATAGCCCATTCAAGAATGCTCCTGGTCTTATGATTATTTCACAACAAGCAAATAACTCAAGCAGGGCCAGCATTCTCAGCCATGCCATCCATGCCAGCCAATGGAAAACATGGCTGAGAATGAAACCAACAGGCAGAAGGCAGATCTGAGATAAGTATGAGTCCTGATGATATTATTTGACTTCCTGTATCAAGCTGTGACTGAAGTTGAATAACCTGAACTTTTTAGTTACAGGAGCCAGTGATTTTCTCTTTGTGTAAGCCAGTTTGTGTTGGGTTTCTGCTAGTTGGTACTGAATATGCAGAAATAAAGGCAAAGAAGGCATCAATGGCAATTCCAAGCTTTAAAAACAGTACCATCGACCATTGTCATAACATGGTATTAGTAGACTTGGCACTGATAAATTTCATCTGTTCCAAAAAATCAA